TTGGAGAGGAGGTAAATAAAACAAAGATGGGATGCCTACAAAAAATGTCACCTTTCTCACACTAGGGGAAATTTAGGATTTTTTTAAATATTGTCTTATAAAATTAAGAAATTAAAAACCTATATACTATTAAGATATGGATTATTAGCTATGATTTTGTGCTATGCCAATTTGTATAACATAAACAAACAGTAGTTTAATAAAATGTTGAATGTAAGTCACTAAAACCTCATGACATGTGCAGTAAATGATGTCTGGGCGAATAGAGATAAAATATAGGGGATTGATTGATTGATTCTGTGTAATGGATGCAACATGGATAGCCCATGGTGTAGCTTTGCACACACAAAAAAACAGATACTGGCCTTGACCTTTGCCTCAGGGGTCCTGATCTTAAACCAAGTTTTGATGATAAGCATATTTCACTTCTGACGTATCAAAAGTGATATACAAAGGTCACCCTTGAGAAAGAAACTTTTCTAACATATAGGAAATTAGTTTTACAATTACCTATTTGTAAATTGGCCATAAAGTCCTTTGGCCACTTTGAAGTGTCACAGCTGGGAAACAATATAATGTATGATTATCAGCACAATATACACAAAATGAGTCAATAAAAAGAAATTAATACATAGTCAGGGAGGGGCATATTTCTGAATTACATAATTCATTCTCCCTCAAGGGGTGTTGCAAAATAAATCACACTTTTTCCCCCAAAGTAATGATGAACTTGGTAGGACCACAAATATCATTACTTGTGAGAAAACATTATTTCAACATACTCTTGGGTATTTGACTCTCCAAATTTCATTTTTTGCAAAAACTTTTGAATCATGGTGCTCACTAGAACTCTGGTTTGTGTCACATGTGCTGCATTCTGGATGGTTCAGAAACTAGTCGCAGACATGCTCCAAGAATACAAGTTGGTGCTTTTGTTCTACAACACCCATAAGAAATATTGGAAACTTTGCCTGAATGTGAGAGACACAAACGTGAAACCTTGATTTGTGTTCTCACTGATGTGCTCACACAGACAGCCACAAAAACAGAGATGTTTGTTGCATTGCTGAAATCTTTTGCAAATTGATTAAAACTTGTGTGTGAAAACAATGGTGGCCCAGTCAAGCGATGTTGATACTTGGAATTACTTTTTGATTGAATTAAAATTTATTTTACTTTGTTATGCTCTCGGGGAAAGATGTGATTTATTTTTGCAACACCCCTTACCCAAAATGTTAACATTAACATTAGGATTTATATTTGAAATATAAATCAAACAAGTTAATAAGTTAAATAAATACATGTTACATGTATAAAAATTCAAGTGAGAGAAAAAAATCACTGGGAGATTAAGTTAACTGAAAAATCCTTCATTAATATAAAGATAAAAAAAATTAATTAAGAAATTCCACTTTGAAAATGAAACTATTAAAACTCACGAATTCTAATCATACAAAGAGCATCAAAACAAACAATCTCTTAATACGAGTAATGCCAAAAGTAAAGTGATAGTTCAATAGAATAGAATAGAGGGAGTCAAATGCATCAAGAGAGTATGTCACACTTTTACTTATGAAGGGTTGTCGCATGATGATTTATATGCAAGATGCATTGGAATCAGTCAATTCCAAATGGGTGGGAGATTCAAGACTTGTGGCATGCACAAAATATTTTTTTGCATATAGAGGGTAGCACTGAACGAGAATAGTTATTTATGTGAGAAGTGGTAATGTACCGTATCAGAAGCTGCACCTTAAAATGCCTGCTAATAATCCAATCTTCACCAGACATTCTTAGAAGCAGCTCCTCTACAGTTATTTGATTGTGTGATGGTGCACCATCCTGTATGAATATGGGTCTTAAATCACCATGTATTTGAACAGCTCATATTATTTTCCATAAACACAGGCAATAGCGCCATTTGCCTGTACTCATGAATTTCAGTAGTTTAAACAGGATGAGTCAATGATAAAATAGATGTAATCAATCTGAGACCAGTAGGTTGACTAAGGAACACATGAGGATTGTCAGTTCCCAAAATCCTCCAATTATGCATATTCATTTTTCTATGAAACATGAAATGTGCTTCATCAGTCTGTAAAATGATAATCAATAATGAGTGGAACTATAAATTTCAATTAGTTGGTTATTTGAACAATGTTAGCTAACTTAATCATAATTTTGATTAATCCTTTCTTTGTGGGTACCCTTTTCTGCACATCACAACCTTTTTACATAGTTATATTCAAATTTCAATTAAACTACTATATTATCAGTGTATATGAATAAGTTTGTCATCATAATGTAGTTAATAAATCAAAATTTAACATAAGTTTTAAGTTCTTAATTTTATAAGGAGATATAAAAAAAACCTCAATCTCACCTAGTATAAGAATTTTGAAACATGCTCTTCTAGGTCTTTCCTCTTCTCCAATTTATTTACCACCTCTCTGAGAAGTATGGAATTTAATGTAAATTACTCATTATAATATAGCTATTACTTAGGCAAAGCATAATTTTTATAGCCGTAAATCTCATTTGTTTATAGAGCCATGAAGTAAAAAATCAGACCCACTTGCTACATCCTCTCTTTCACAAATTGCCAATAGTTCTCTCTGACATTATATACTATATTATTTATAACCAATAGAAATCCAAAGTTTTAATCTATCATATGATATATTATAATACACTGTTTTCTGTTCAGAGAATTGTGTACCTTGCTTCCAGCTCAAAACTTTATTCCCACAGGAAACACATCGACAAACTTAGCTGAATTTTGAACAGCTCTTATCACATAGTTAAAAAGTCAAAAAAGTTATGACAGTTATAGGACATTATTTCCTACTTTAGGTGTTATTATTCTGTGTTTTTATATGCATTATTTAATCAATTAAAAAAATTAGTGTAATTGTACCATTAGTATAAAAAGTATGCTTAAGTTTTATCAACAGCGAAAAACATGAGGACCGAGGTAAAGTACTATTTCTGGTTTTTCCTGTGTAATATTTTTCTTTTATTATCATAAAAGTAAATAAAATGTAATAAATTAGAAACCTATAAGGTTAGATAAAGTTAAATTAGGTATGATACTGAAAAAAAAAAACATTATTCATGAGGTATGCTTGCAAGTAGCTCATCCATTATATAATTTGATACAGTAACAGGAGCTGCATGTTCACTGAGCAGGGTTTTCAATAGTACCAACAGTACAAGATTGTCAGTATCAGTACTGACCGGGTACTGCTAGTACCAGTGCTCAATCATCTCTAATCATGTGACTTGAGCAGTCAGAAATTCAACTATTCGTCCCAGTGTGTTCTCACGGGAAAATTGTTTTCCCATGAAACCAAATTGTCAATTATGGCAATGACTCAGTTGAAAACTAGGCTTTATACTGGTTATATATTTAATGGGAGTCTGCCTCAGAAAAAATATATTAGCAAATTGTAAATTAGAGCATGTCAGAGGTAGGCATGGAAAATGGTTACTGAATTTTCATTGATTGCTCTTTAGCCCCATAAGATTGAAGAATATAAAAATATAGCTTCAGAATACTGATGATAAAATTATGGAGAATATTTTACGTTACATTTCGTAGTTTTAAAAAAAAATCCAGATGAGTAGATAGCTCTACAACAAATATCCAAATTCTCACACTAGAGGAATTTGAGGTTGTTTTTAAATATTTTCTTACACAATTTAGAACTTAAAACTTATATAACATTAAAATTTGATTTGCTATCTACGGTTTGATGTCAAGATTGTTCGTATACCATGATAATTAAATAGCTTAATTAAATTTTGAATGTAACTCACTAATACGTCGTGACATGTGTAGTTTGACCTGCCTGCATGCTAAGGGTTAATAATACATCCACCTACCTAATATACAATCAGTCATGTAGGCACATTCACGTTCTCTTCCAGAGTGTGGGAGTCACCAGTTTCCCATATTTCATGCTATTGCTAATTTTCACGGTGAGATTTGCTTATTGACTGAAGTATGAACTCAACACTACCACATCAAACATTTATAATTCTGTGAAAAGCGAAGCTGAAATACCAGAGAAGGCATTCAGTCAAAACTTTGAAGATGGGACATGTGATAACAGATATTATAAACCAATACCAGTACTGCTGGTACTGAAGATCCAGTACTGATACTTGACACCGAGTACTACCAGTATTGACTTCAAACTCTGTCGCCAAGTGATTTACAATTAGCATGGTGGGATTATTAGTTAGACACAGTAAAAAGGTCAATATAACAATAAACTTAAGTATCAACAAATGTATAGTTATGAGCTTTAAGCTATTTCGGATACACAATTGTGTTTCGTGTTACAATTTGCAGCCATTCTAGAAAGAAAAAAGGGTAAATCAGAATTATTTCCTAATTTTTTATGGTGGTTGCAAAGTCAGTCAAATCAACTGAATTTGTATAGGGTTAAGGTAGAGAAAATAACTGATAAAATATAAAGTTTTTCTGAAAGAAAGGTTTGATATTTATTCACAACTTTCAGATGAAGAAGAGCATTTTCAATCTTAACATGAAAATCACTCAGAGCAGTGAATAACTTGGGTGAGTTTGACTTCATATATTCACAAAGAAATTTTTAGTAATAATAATTAAAAAACGTAATCTATTTTGTGTATATACATATATATGGAAAACAAAATGAATATCTGTGACAATAACTATCTTTCAATATGAAAACAAGTAACAGGATCTGATAATTTATGTAGTCATCAGTTTCATAATTTGAGTATAATTGATTAAGATTTCCTTAGCAAACTGTATAAACGTACCTGCTATGTTTCAAGGTGCACTGGTAAAGTGGAAATCTTTCATGCTCTTTACTTTACTTGTAGTTTAAGCACATCTTTAAAAAAATGCACTTTATTATCGGTAACAATTTTTGCTTAAATAATATGAATTAGTTTACAGTAACTTATGAGATTGTTTCTCATCACTAAACTATACAAAATTTTCTTACCGAACATTTACCAAAAATTGTTTCAACATCAATGTTGGAATCAAAATTGGTTCGAGTATCTTGAAGTACTTCCCACTTGCTATTTGCAGCCTTCAATTGCTTCTGGTGACGAGGAGGAATCTCAGAAATTCTTGAATACCACTGAAGAACAGCTCTATGATTTTCATTATTTCCTTCACCTAAAATTTTGTAATACATATGGTAAAAAATTGAGAGTAAAGTAAGTATACACAGAGATAAAGAGTTAACTGCACCTTGCAAGAATGAGTTGCATATACAAATGCAGTGGGCTATCATCATACCACTAGCATATACTTGGTTCAAACAATCCAACAGTGCAATGCCACCATAGGCAACCGTATGGTTGTAAGATACTTCACACCCATCTCCAAGGGATAACACAGTAGCAACCAGGTGCACAATACAGAAACCATCAACTTGAGAATTAACTACCCATAACATAATTAATTGCATGAGCAAAGAAAGATCAGTACACACCAGGACCACTGAAACAATATCCCTCCCCATATAAGACTGATGCTACCATTACCAACATCACAAACTGGTCATCCAGAAGCCATTCTTCCTAATTCACTAGATTCACATATTCCACGTAACTGTGCACTAGGTAATTCACAGATCTCACCCTTGTACAAAAGTATAAACCACGAGTAAAAAAGTGCTCCCCACAGACTTTGGTTAGAGAAAGATAAACTGTAGAAAACTTGAAGAAAAATAGCTTGCAAGTATTAGATGGAAGTTTATGAAATACTGAAAAAGGGATAAGGGGGTGCTTGAAAAACTGTCATAAGAAATGGGTAATTTGCTACCAATCATGACTTTCCAAGATTTTTATGAACCATGTAGAATGAATCTCTGGGTAGTTACCTATCAAACCATGCATCCATGTGGTTTGCTTAAACACAGCCCTGAAAAAAAGACATTCATGCACAGTAAAGTTTGTCAAGAAGTATGGTCTAACACTGATCTAGCTACCCTTCAATAAAGCTTGTTACAATAGAAATTGTAGCATAGTGCATAACCATGGTAACCAGACTGAATATTTATGGTCAACAACCAAGGGAGTAAAATCGAAGAACAACATGCGATCTCTGAGTATTAGCACATACATTCACATATGTTTAAAACAGTATTCATATAGCTAATTTCAGGCCAACTTGGAAAGTATTAATGACAAAAACTTAAGTATTTCTTAAAGAATATCCATACCACATATTCTAATACTCAATATTTTTTACATATAGCACACAACACAGTACATAAATCCATTCACTTTTAAGCATTAAAATATAGAGTGTTGATTATGTTATACCAAAATGATTTTGAATGTGCAAATCAACATGTACCATGTCACTCACAAATGATATAAACTCACTAGATGGCATGTAACTTTCTTCTGATGTTGCTGGGTGTTCTGTATGTAGTGTGATGCCATCAAATATTACTTTTGGGAGGCATATGATACAGTCCTTTTAATGCAAAATATTCATAAACTCAGACAACAAAGATGTCTTCAGATCTAAGATTTAGAATTCCAAGATGGGGATATTCCTTGTGCTTAATGGCATTGGAAAACAAAGGAATATCGAAAAACTTGGGGCACCAGGACCATTCAGAAAGAGACCTGCAAGAAGTTGCACCCCCAGTCAGGAAAGCAAAGTGTTGCATTGTGAAAAGAAAAACACACAAACTCATAGGTCAGTGACAAAAGCCATCTGTATGTCCCAAGCAACAGTATGCAACATAATAAAGAAAAATCTACTTTTGAAAGATCAAACACAAGTCATGTACACACATATTCCTTCCACAACATATCCATTCAACCACTGCATACCTCAACAGCTGAAAAATGAAAAACGTATTCATGCTATTCTATAGAAGGACATATGTCAAGCCACCAGATGCAGCACCAAAAGATTTATGTACAACTGAAATGGATGCTAGGGAACTGCCATTTTTGTGTATTATACATGCAAGAAGTAGTAAAGTACTTTAGACATGAAAGTCTTAAGCCTTTTGCAAAGGAAACTACATTGCATGTCTATTGTCAAAACAGCGATCGGGTAGACAATCAATGGACACGAGGACACGAATATGGTAAGGCTCTAAAATCATTTTAATACAACATACTCAACCTCTTTATTTGTGTAAAATGTGGGATCACTCACTGAGATTCTTTGTCTGCAACAACAAACTGTTTTTAGTGTATTCATATAAAATTCAGTAATTAGATACAGAATATTATATATTTTTAAAATTTTGTTTGAGTGCTACTATAGCTGAAACATGAAACTATTTCATGGATGTATGTATCAAGTCATCCAGATCATCAAAGTGAAACTGGAAAAATAAATTTTTGTTCAGATATTCATTAACAGGATCAAGATGTTAGACAAGTAAATAACCATGTCTTTAGTTGGTAAAGATTAAGAGCATTTGGTATGTGATTCCATTCAATTGATGCTAATGTTAACATTAAACGAGATAATAAACAAAACTGTCTTATCATACTATATTTTAATTTTCAAACATTTCCTGGTCAAGTATCTAGGTGTAGCATATTCACTGAATCTATGTTAGATATGTAACTCAAGATTCAGCAATCTGAAACTTCAAGTAACTTCAAAGGACCTTCTTTAGCCAGAACATTCTGAAGCTACTTGCAAATGATGCTGTGATGATACTGTCATAGAACTATTATGCAAAGTCTTGATAAGGTAAATACAATTAAAATTAAGTTAAGCAGTCTGCTATGAAATGCTGTATGTAGCTAATATGATAATGTATCAATAGTCATTTTAACAGATAATAAAAATAAACTTATTTTCAAAATAAACTTGAATGCAGCAAAAAAAGACAAAACTGTATGCTGCATTTTCATTTCAGACAAATCACAACTGCCTTGTTTGCAGCATATTATATTACCAAGCAAAATAATTGTCAGTAATTGACTGAGAAATTGGGAGTTTAAAATCTAATTATGGTTAGGGCAATCTTGTGATGATCCAAAGTAAATACACGCAGCAAATCACCATTTTGAATAAACATTTCATTAATACATGAAAATGCATCATATTATTCAGACTGGCTCTGAAGCTAAAGGTATCATCAGAGGCAAAATCACTAAAGCATCAGTTACTGCTGAGCCCTGGCATGTGTTCACTACTACATCTCTCACTCAATCAAGCCATAAATGTATATAAAAGCAAATATAATTTTCAAAGCTAGTAAATCAAATTGGTTATAGTTGGCTAATAAACAGTCAACCAAGAAACTGAAGTCAAGTGAGATAAGAGGATATGTTAAGGAAATAAATAAATTCATATGGATCTGAACATGTTCCATTTACTGCAACATCTGCTCCAAATGTAATAAACTATACATTGGCAAAACTTCATGCAAATTAGGGGATAGATTCAATAAACATCTTCAACAAATAAAAAAAACTTGACTTTCCAGCACTTAGACATTTTAACTCAAACAGCCATACCCTAGCAAATTTACCAGTCTTGGCTCTCAAACATCACCATTTAACAGGAACAAAAGAGAAACAGCCAAATATAAAGAGATTTTTTAAATTAGGTACCAAACCTCTTGAAACGAACAAATGCTTTTCTTTTCCTTACATGATTTTATTATCAGTTTGAATGTTCTGTTGTTTATAATTTTTTATTTAGCTTATCTACTTCTTGTTATTACATTGTTTTAATTGCACTTTGCCCTGTTGTTAAGTGTATGTTGTTTGTCTTAAGTCGTACATTCACACAAGTTATTAAACATAAAATTGTCATTAATTCCTTTTTCATATTTAGCCTGACAAATAGAAGTTGCTCAAGACCTTTATATATGAAATAAACATTGTGTTTTTACAGTGATTTTATCTTATGTCATATTTCCCAATGCTATGTGGATTTCAAGTTATTATTAGAAGCTATATATACATTTTAAAATGTTGCAATTTAGATGTTACATAGTGCATCACATTACGATCAAGTCAGTCCTAGAATATTTGGGAATATTAAGGAAGAGGTTTTGCAAACTATCTAAACAAGGATTAGATTATAAATATAGGTAAGCCAGTAGATTGATTGAGTAAGCTTACAGTGATGTATCAAGAAGACACAAGAATTCTTTTCTAGCCAGTAAAGTGAATCAGTGTATTTACATTTTTGAATTTGTTAGCTATTGTACATATTGAGTAACTCAGTACAAGTAAGTTGATCTTTAAGTTAATGTAGTACACTTAACATGTCTGCAGGAATAAAAGTAATGACATAAAATTACATTCACTTGAGGGAAAGCTATCAGGAAGATTACGTTCCCTCGTGTATTTTGATCCCTGGTCTGTAAACTTAAGCCTAAAAGTTTAAAAATGTACCAGCCTGTAAAGGTTGTTAAGGAGGAAATAATCTAATAGTTATTGTTACATAGACAGGACTTAAAGTTACTTTCACAAAATAATATCAAAACAACTGCCAATGAAAGAACAATGATACAATAAGTTGAAATCTTTTAAGCTTTGGAAACCTAGATCCAGACCAATTCCTGTTTAATTAATTATAAACTTGTGGAATAGTTTGCTTGATGACAGTATTTTGGTGTGTAGATTTTTCAATATTTTTTCAATAGATATGTATGTGAAGAGCAACGTTAAATTTTGGTTTTACAGTTTAGGGGTGTGTGTGTTGTTGTTGGCTATATTTTCATTGTTTTAGTTCAGTTTGTTCATCTCCATTTTTAAATTTTGATAACGTTGGTATGGTATCTGGTTTTAATATATTATCCTCTTTGGTAACAAATTATAGCAAGATAATAAAGTCATTTGAACATACCCTGCTGTATTTGATTCACCAGAAAATGTAAGAAACTAATCCCTGAACCCTTTTTTGCTTCTGTTATTGTTCCAATAAGCCAAATAATACATCATCTTCCCACTAAAGTTTCAAAATGATTACTCCATCTACTAAGGTTAATGGCAGTTGATATTTGATTTCTGTGACAATGCTGTTGGAGATAGCTAAGTGCTTCCAAAACACTGCATATGTGAAGCATAACAAAATATTGAGTTTTTTCACTATTTTTTGAACTTTTGGTTAATTGTTTTTAAAGTGACACATGTTATAATAGACACTAAAACATCATATTTTTGTAAATAAAAAATATTGATTCATAAATCACTATAAAAGAAATTCTGAAAGTCTAGGCATACATGAATGGCCATTACACAGGTATCCCTATGCAAGAAATTTTGCCAAACAATGAAATGCAAGTTATTGGAAATTATTAATTAAATGTTAATTAAAATTTTAAAGTCATCAAGTCTTATAATGTCCAGTTAAATTTGATCGGTATCTGTAAATCCTCCCCTCTCCACTCTTAAAGAGGAATGAAAGATCATTTTAACCATGAAAACATAAATCAAAAACGTAATTTTAGTTTAATATCCAAATATTTGCATTTTAAGGCTTCCAACTCTGTGTATATAGTGATAAAAGTGGTACATTATATATAATTACACCAAAAACTTCTCTCTTAAGAAACTTTTAAGGAAACAGGTTTAATTGTAAATAAACTTGTTACACTTTTTTAAGACATAATTAACAGATAAGATTTTATGTCATCTAAAAAGAGAAATAAAGTGGTAGGTACCGAAAGCAAAAACATATTCAGTACTTGAAGATCTGAATTAGATAATGTCAAAAAAGTAAAATAAAATACAATATTTTTTCAAGTACTTTCCTTACCTGTATCAAAAAGGTCTTGTACTTGTCCCACAAAACAGTTTTGTAGATTTTCAGAGTCCATACAGTCATCATTACGCACTAACACAAAGTCTTTGACAGCTATTTTACAATTTGACAATGTACATTCACTACAAGAAAAAAAAAAAGGTAAACAGTGTTAATAATATATACAGTGAATTTTGGCATAGCTCTCACTGTATTAACATCATTCTATAATTTCTTGGAAAATGGTGTAACGTTTCAATTACTATTGAAAAAAAGCTATCTAAAATATATAGATTAGTTTATTTTTAATACATGGATAACAGACAATCCATCTGGTTCTTCAGGCTGTCCTTGAACACTTATCCTTGATATATAACAAAAATTTACACTACTCTTTACTTTACAAGAAGTTAGCAAGGGTACACATTTTTTGTTACAGACCACATGTCAAAATAATGCCTATTAAAAATTGTATAATGAGACCAGATTTTCTATTGATAACAATACTGATACATTAATTGGCAGAATTTTAACTTCAGACACATTGATTAAGATTTTATAGACAAGTAGTGAGGGGGAAAGAGATTTATGTGATTCATAATGATTGTCAGCAACAAATGTTCAGAGAGCAAACCTGGGGGTAATCATTTTAGATGTTAACATTTTCCTTAACAGAAAATGAATTTCCAATTATATAACTCTGTACCCAAAACCTATTTTCCTCTTCAAGTCATGCTAATCTGCCTGAGAGACTTGCATCCCATCTGCCTTGTGAAAACTACAACCTAAATATCACATGAAACATTTAGTTTGGAGTAGACCATGATGAAGTATCATGCAGCAAAACCCTCCACCAAAAGAGTGTAACACAACTTTTTGAACAAATACTTCCTCTACATTCACGCACAAAAATCCTCATTCTTTGATGAGGCAACATATAAAAGTAGGAACATGTATGGAAGTATCTGTCGGAAATACATTTTCATTAAGGAAAATGTTAATTTCCAATACGATCACTCACCTCCATACACAGAAAACTAAAATCCCGCTCTGAGAAGTTGGAAGGAATGGTGCAAAATTTACTTATATGAGCTCCCTTCAGCAAGTGTCCAAAGGAAGCCCATGGGGTGCGATATCCTATGGCTGGGGCTCCATAGGGGCACACTATGGGAGACCACATCTCATCTCATTCAGTGACTAAGACACACACAAGTCGTCAGACAGCCAATATATACAGTGAGGTTTGGGGCTCATTCAAACTGTACCATGTGTGCACAACTCCTCAACCATCTTTTTTATTGGTCAAAATCAGCTCTGGAAGAAGGACACTTGCAATAAGTATCAATGCACAGCTCCTCTATCTGAGCCCCATGCCAGTCCTGGGAGGAGGGAACCATATTGGACATAATTAGTATGAGTACTTATATTACCAATACTTGAATATGTATATGTATCTGTTCCTTATACGTTTCCACATTTCTTCATCAATCAGCACCAAACTTGACACAGAAGATGACATGAAGAAGGTCATGGGGGTTTGGATCCCCCCCCCCCATATAATTTCATGTTGATAGAACTATTAGAAAACAGTATGTCTTTCTTTTCGGTATTG